ATATATATAGTTATCAAAGATATATTTGAATATAAGGTGCAACAAACTGATTTTGAGCCAATTTCAAGCTGAAACATATCCAAATAACTAAATTTTAGCGACAAGTTTATTTTTTAAGCCGGATCGAGCCAAGTTTGAGTGGAAATGGATCCAATTAACTCAATTTGAGCCAGCCCTATTGAATTTTGAGCCAGCTCGAGCTCGATTCAATTTCTTATAAAAAACAAGTCAATTTCAAACTGCACTCAATCTATTCAAACCGACCTAAACACGCTCATAACAGGATCATTAATAGACCTAGACATGGCATAAATCTCCCACAAAATCCTTTTTTTTTTTAAGATCCAAGAAAACAAATATCCCTCTTGTGGAATCTTTATTGATCATGATGTAAATTTCTAAAAAAAACACATAAAATTAAAATATTGCAAATAATGTAAAAAAAACTTCATGGCTTTGAATTTTTTCCAACATCTGAAATTGAAATTTTCTATTCTCCAGGCCTACAAATAAAATAGTAAATTGCATAACAAACAAGAAGTATTACTTAGCTTGCATTTTGCTGTAGAGATCTGCTGCAGCAGATAATGACTGTATTGTCACAGGAAACCCTGGGCCCATCTGCAAACAAATAGATGTTAAAATTTTTGGAAGAATGACTTGGTTGCATTAGTTGCAACAGAATAAATTTAAAAAAAAAACTAAGGCCACCTCTAAGGCAAAGAGGACAGAAAAAGTGATATAGAAATAACAATAAATACATGGATGTCATGATATATATGTTTTTTATTCAAGATATTAATGGGTGCCATGTAGATAAAATAATTAGATGGGTTTAGGGTTGTATATAAGCAAAGCGGACTCATGAGCTAACTCGAGCTCAGCTCGATAGGTGGCTTGTGAGCTGAGCTTGATGAGCTAATAAGCAAAGCTCAAGCTAGCCCCGACTCGGCTTATTAGCCCATAAGCTGGCCAATTTAGAAAATAATTAAGATAAAATATACCCATAATATATTAACATTCAAGATTTTTCTTTAACTTGATAAAAATGTTTCAAAATAATATTTTATATCAAGGGATTTCTTATTATTTATCTTGTAATTATTATTTTATTATACTTTTAACTTGAATCAATATTGATTTTTCAATTTCATGATAAATAAGAAAGCTCGTGAGCCGGCTCGAACTCGTATAAGTGAGCTCAAGCTCGAGCTCGAACTGGATGAATTAATCAAGCTCAAGCTTAAGTTGTGGATGGCATGAGCTTAGATTGGCTCCTTTACACCCCTAGATGGGTTTAAGCCATAATTTTCACTTTAGACATTCTTGAGCATATAAGCAGTCAAACATGTAAAGAAATATAGAACATGATGTGGAATATAATATTAAACTCTTTTTTACCAAGGTATAAGTAAGAAATGCCCCATTTATTTAAGATCTTAATAAAAAATTAGGTGCATTTATATAATTTCGAAGACAGTTTAACTACTAATAAATTCAAAATTGTACCCGCTCTAAAAATGAAGGGGTTTCGAGCAGACTCACCGTGCTGCATAATGTGAAATTCTTCACATAACCAGCATATTTTGATGCTGCACAAAAAGGAAAAATATCAGTTAATAATGCATTGACAAAGACCCACAATTAAAGGGGCTTTATCAAAGCATAATTTCTTTGAATACCAACAATCAGTCATTCCTTGTGTTTTCACCAATCTAAGAAAATCAATAAAGCCCCAAGATGTTCCATTTTTAGCAAAATAAAAATCACATAAACATTTAAACTTAATCACAACAAAAAATAAAGGGGAATTTACATGCATAACACAAAATTCTTATGTATGTACATATCTAACACCCAAAGTTTGATATTTACACTTAAAAATACTTTGGTGTCATAAATCTATACATAAAAAGGTCTGTTTCAATTAAAAAGTTAGTGATGGTGGTATTTTTGATATGATGTTGGGTGTTCGATATGTAAATGCATAAGAATTGTGTGGTATGTATGCAAATGCCACAAAAATAAATAAGGTAGATAAAAACACCCTAAAGAGTTTAAATATCTTTTTGTTCCTCCCATGCTTCAATGAAAGAACTATTTAGGACAGAAATAGTGAAGTAGAGCTTGTAGCAGTCCTCCAGCCGGGCTTCGAATCCTACTTTATGAGACGATTGAGTCCACCTTATTTATCTAGCATCTACCTTTTCCTCCTTTCATACCTCTTCCTTCCCCCTCACTAGCTTCCTCTTCCAGCAAGCCCCAGTTCCCATGTTTCAATTTTAAAATTATTTAGGAAAGAAATGGTTATGCAGTCTCCCACCATTAAGGCTTTTAATGCGACTTCTGACGAAGATTGAGTCTCTCTTATTTAACTGGCACCATTGTTTCTACTTCATCCTCTCTGGCTTTTCTCCTCCAAGGACTTCGCTGTCTCCGGTTCCAGAGACTCGACAAAATTTTGCTCCCTAAATGTGAATCCTATGTTTTCTGTTATTAGGATGACCTACTTCAGAAGCTGTATTATGCTAGTCTAGTTGCTCCCATGTCAGCATCCTATGGGTTATCTATGTACATTAAATGTGACTTCGTGATCCTGAACTCTCATTGTCGACTCCCATTTTTACACATCTATCATAGCCTTCCTGTTGCGAAAAACAATCTACCTTGAAATAATAGAGATTTTCTTATCCTCCTTCATATCTAACACTGAAAAAAAGAACAAAAATCCCAAAATATGTACTAGTACATTGCAATTGCAACAGGACAAATTATAGAACTAAAATGCATTACAATACACAGCACAAGGACGAATAAAAATCAAGAAAAAATTGAGAATGATGTGACGGTAAAAATCCCCGTGTCTAGATTCTCTTCGTTTTTTTCTTCTTCCAAAAAATTTTGCTTCCATGATTGCCCAGGGAAATAAATATGGAAATGAAAACAGAATATAATGAACAACTTTTTATTACTGAATTTTAAAACTTACAAAGCTAGGAGAAGCTTACAGACACTCGAAGGCTTCTTAAACTCATTTCTAAAAACTTCATCTAAAACTTGCACACCAATACAGAATACAAAGTCTTTATTTATAGCTAAGAGGGGAACTCAAAATTTATTCAAATCAACGCACTAGCAGAAAACATATCTGAAAAGTAAGTTATAAATAGTAGAAACAATAATCCACCATAATTAGTGGAGAAAAAAAAAGAACATAAAGTGGAGCGTGGCCCCCTTCATCACTCTCATTAGTAGAGAAAGTAATAAGTGAATAGTTGATTCTTTAGCAAATAATTATTGGTTGGTGCGATCCACCCACATTAACTTCTCTCAGTCTGTGTCAGCTGATTGTCACTAGGTTCCTTCGTCATTGGATCGTGGTAATTGGACTCTTGAGCTTTGGGCAATAGTCTAGAGAAGCCCATAATCTGCTCAATCTTCAGAGTCTCCCATATATTCATCATCATCACTCATCTGAACTAATGATATTTGAAAAATCTTCATAAATTGTCTGTCCCGGCTTTCAATAATCCTTTTTTGTATTTGATCTGTGGATTCATGAGAATATTTTATTTTAAGCCAATCAAATATTTTAGACAATTAAATTTTCACTGTATTAGAAATCGGATTGCTAATGACTTCATATTTTTACAAAATATCATTAGTCTATTTTTTATCTTTCTTATTAATTTGAGGATACTTTTTTATTAGAAATTGTCCTTGAAGACATTGAATATTAAATTAGTTTTTTCATGAATAAATTCATCAGGACCATATCCAAGGAATTTGACAGTCAATAAAGAAGTGGGTCGACGTTTGACTTTCTGTCAAATCTTCATTTTTTTACATTTTTTTTTAATTTTGGGTATAATTCAACCTAATAATCATACTTGTCTTTAATTTTGTTAAACACAATATCGAGTTTAGCACCAAAATGATTCCACCATTTATAAGACCATGCCAAAATATTTTTATTTAAAATTTTTTTATTCAAAATAAACATCCAAGAGTGTTTTTCCTTGCAGTTAGCAAGATAGAATGCATTAATCATATCATGAAAATAGTTCTAATAATTTATTGAAATATGATGATGTAGATTAGAGGAAAGATAAATCGTTCGATCTTGATAGAGCTAGTCCCCAGTGACGGTAACGAATAAGATTTTGTGTAGCATATTTGTTGTACAATATATCTTATTTAGCTTTATCAAAGCAATTGTGTCTACACACTTTAATTGGATTAATATTTTTTCATAAACCTCACAACTGAGGTACGATTCAGTAGGGAATATACTACTTCTCATATAGGGTTCTGCTAGAAATGATGTAGTTGAAATGCGAGTCCAATTCATTATCAGGTTTTCTAACTAGCGAATTTTTGCGGGGAACAACAAGGTTGGATCAGCCCCAAGGGGAAAGCTCCAATGGAGCCTCCTGGATCTTGAGCTCTCTCTTTACACAAACATCAAAACGACAAGTTAAATCCTAAGGGTCAAATTAACCTCTGCGAATACCTTTATGGTATTTTTTCCAAAGCATGAAGTAGAAGAGCATTCTACTATTGCTCCCACAGAGCAAAAAATCATGAAAGAAACATTAACTTCTTTCACTGCTAAAACTTTTAATATTACCAAAATAGGTAAAACAAAATATTCTATAAATCAATCCAAAACATAGTCATATTACGACTACATCAATTCTAGCAGAATGTTTTATGAAAAGATTTGCATTCATTAATAAATTGCACCTCAGTCATCAAGTTTATAAAAAAAATTAATCCCAATTAAAGTGTGTAGACATACACCAAAACTTCGGTGAAACTAAACAAGATATATTATATAGCAAATGTGTTATACAAAATCTTATTCATCACCGTGACTAGGGACTAAACCCCTATCAAGCTCGCATTTCAATAAATTTATTGAAATTATGTTCATGTTATGATGAAAGCATTCAATCTTGCTAAGTCCAAGACAGAATACTTTTAGATGTTATTTTGAATAAAAAAATTTTAAATAAAGATATTCCAGCATGGTCTACTGATGGTGGAATCATTTTGGTTCTGAACTCGAAATTGTGCCTAATAAAATTAAAGACAAGTATAATTATTCGGTAGAATTATACCCAAAATTAAAAAAATGTAAAAAAAAAATTTGTCAGAATGTCAAATGTTAACTCACTTCTTTATTGACTACCAAATACCTTGGATATGGTCCTGAAAAATTTGTTCAGGAAAAGACTAATTTAATATTCGATGTCTGCAAAGACAATTTCTAATAAAGTGGTAGCAACAAATTAAAGATAAAGATAAACTTAAGTAGGTTAATGATATTCTGCAAAAATATTAAGTCATCAACATTTCGATTTCGAATACTGTGGAAACTTATTTTTCTGAAATATTTGAAGAGTTCAAAAGAAAATATTCTCATAAATCTACAGATCAAATAAAGAAAAATATTATTGAAAGCTATGATAGACAACTTATGAAGATTTTTCAAATGTCATTGGTTAAGAAGAGTGATGATGATGAATCTATAGGAGACTCTGAAGATTAGGTCGATGATGGGTTTCACTAGAGTATTGCCTAAAGCCAAAGAGACCAATTGCCACAATCCAATGAGGGAGGAACCTAGTGATAGCCAGTTGACACAGACCGACATAAATTAGTGTAGGTGGATCCCACCCACTAATAATTATTTGCTGAAAAATCAACTCTTCACTTATTACTTTCTCCACTAATGACAGTGTTAATGGGGACCATACTCCACTTTATGCTATTTTTTCCACTAATTATGATGGATTACTGTTTGTATTATTTATTGTTTACTTTTCGGATATGTCATTTGTCAGTGTGTTGATTTGAATAAATTTTTAGTTCTGCCCTCAGCTATAAATAAGAGTTTTGTATTCTGTATTATTTTGTAAGTTTTAGAAGAAATTTTTAGAAATCTAAGTTTAAAAAGCATTCAAGTGTTTGTAAACCTCTTCTAGCCGTGTAAGTTTTTAAATTCAGTAATCAAAAGTTGTTCATTATATTCTCTGCTTTGTGGCATGCTCACACTCACTTCACACAGCTCGTTTTCAACTCGTGAAGTAGCTTGTGTTTGATTCATTCGTTAAGTAAGCCGAACACAAACAATTTTCTTGAGTTCAATTTATAAACAAGCATAACATGAACATAAGCTTATTTATTCGTGTTCGACTCATTTTTGCTCGAAATAATTAAATAATTAAATAATAATATTTATTTATATCATTTTTAAATTATTTTTTCTAATATAATTAAATAATAATATTAGTTTCATTAGTTTTATGAACTAACTTTTTTGCCCGCATCCGTCCGGAATATGAGACTCTTGCTTATTTGACACTACACCCAGACGTCGGTGTAGTGACCCTTGCACACTTTTCACCGTATTCACGCTATACAGGTGTCGCTTCCAGGGGACGCCCTAGCACTTACACAATGATCAAAAAGATTTATGTCATGATTTTTTTGACAAGTTTTACACTGGTTGTCGACTACCTAACACAACCCTCAACTATTCACATTCGGGCTTTGGACCGGCAATGGTATGTACATAAATGTTCAAAATAATAAAAAAAAAAAACAAAGCCACGGTCCCATTTTTCTTTTATTGTTTGGTCCCACATCTATAGGAGATGTTTCCTTACAACCTCAGACTTGCATAAACATAGGGAAATCTCTCTTTTGAGCACTATAACAGTGTGACCTGCGTGGTAGTTTTAGTTTTTGACCTCCGATTCGAGCCGAACACAAGCTTAATTTGAACAATCGAGCTTAAATCGAGCGGAACACAAATATGCAATTCACAAGCTAATTCAAACACGAGTTGAACACGAACAAAAAAAAAATAGACAAGCTGAACACGAACAAGCCTCGGGCTCGCTCATGCTCAACTCATTTACACCCATACTCTCTACTCTCTTACTCCTCTCTACTAACACTATTCACATCCCTAAACCTCCTACATATGATCCCAACATTATAACTTCTCAGAAACCTGTCAAGTAACTCCAATTCCACTCCAAAACTGATTTAAAACTCGCACCGCAGCAATGAGATATAGCACTATGACACCCAACACTGTCCTTTTTACCTAAATTACCTCCTTATGACGTTGTGGTGCTTCAAATCAATCGTCCTTTACTCATTGTTCTAGCACTTCAATATAACTATCAGTGTTGTGGCACCAAGCTCTCAAATTTCTGATCCAAATTCAATCATCTCTGGCACTGCAGTGCCATTGGACAATCGTTGCATCGCTATTTAATCAATGTCTTGGTACCGACGATACAAAGTTGTAAAGTGGTGCTCTTGAATTGCTCCTTTTTGCTCCATATAGCGCGGTAGCGCGGCGGCACTGTAACTGCAATTTGCAGCTCTTTTTTGAAACTCTCAAACTTCTCTTGAATCTTCACTTATGAAAGTTTATGCCTAAACAATTTAATTACTGTGAAAAATATGCAAAATAAATCAAATTTGAATATATTTTTAAAAATGTTTTAGTTAACTCGTACCACTCAACAACATAGCCTCATGATTTGGGGCTTCATGTTATCCAGTAGACCCCCTCGTTTTCTAGATACCTCTCGGTGCTGTTATTCTAGGAGAATTTTGAAAAAAAGGAACATTTGTATGAGATAAGCTTTATATTGTAAGATTCCGAGACAACTTATTTAGGGTTCATGAGTGTCCTTAAAATTTTTGAAAAAGTATGATGAGTCCTCTTAATTTGCACATCATGTTTGTGACTTTTTTTTTGGTGGAATGAATCTTCTCCCCGGAACAGTCGGTTGAAGCATAATTATATAAATTTAAGTATTTCTTTGGTTATGTTTTCTTTTTAAAATATTTTTTATGGCACATCAATCTAAAGCCTGATGATCCATCCTGATTCATATCATTCGACGCCTCATTACAACATGAATCTATTAAGCTATATGACATAGTACTAAGTACAATTGAATCAAATAAAGAACTGCCTTACTTTTCTTGAGGCCCACAGGTTTTGCGACTAAAAGTGCATTCACAAAAGCCCCAATATTTTCCCGTAAATTCTCCTCAGTGAAGTTGACCTGAGAAAGTTAATACAAGATGGTAATGTGAATAATGGCAAAACTGCTTAGAAATTTACAACTATGTTCTGTTTGCAAGCAAGGCTGAAAAAATATATTATACATAAATAAATGAATTATAAAAACTATTTAAACTGGAATAAGAAACAGACGAGAGTTATTTGTCCTAAAGGGAACAAAACTCACGAGTTAATAGCATCCATAGATAATGATCTTTTGGACTCTGACCTTCATAACATGAAACATTTTTTCGATGGGGCATTGATATAAATACCACTCAAATGTTATGTATTTACATATCTAACGCCTAAAATTTAATTTTTTATATTTATACCACCCAAATCATTCATATCACATAAAAAATATCATTATTTTAACTTCTAAAAATTGAAATGTACCTTTTCATGCATAGGTAAGGTGGCATACATGTAAAAACTGAAGTTTAGGTATTAGATGTGTAAATACATAAAAAATGATTGGTATGCATGTAAATCTTCCATATTCAATATACACGAGGCAAGAGTATATCATTATTTAGAGACAAATGCACCACGATATAGTTTAACTTTACAAGAAATGCAGATTTCATCTCAAATTTGATGCATCCAAAACATTTGCTTTTTCTTGCACTCATCCTCATTCCATGAAATGTTCTCCTTCCATACTACAAGCAATATAGAATAGGAAAATCTACATGCATACCACTCAAATCTTATATATTTACATAACTAACACCTAAAATTCAACTTTTATATACCACCTTACCTATGCATGAAAAGGTGTATTACACTTTTTAAAAGTTAAAAATGGTGGTATTTTTGATGTGATATGAAAAATTGGGGTAATAAAAATGTAAGAAAAAAAGTGTAGATGTTTGTAAATACATAGGAATTGAGTGGTATGTATGTAAATGCCCCCATAAGATATAATATATCAAGTGTTAGGTGACCACAACTTCAACAACTAAAATACTTATCCTGCAATATGCGTAAGCACCATTACGCACAGGATCAATCCAAGCATTTTGCAGCCCATATAATGAAACAGATTTCGAACAATATTAAGTTAGCGGACCTCTATAGGATGCAACTTTTCCTCCAAAGAACATTTGAGTAGCATAACTTTTTTTTTAAGGATTACATGATACCACTCAAATTTTATGTATTTACATGCCCAACACCTAAACTACGAATTTTTCATATATGCCGCCACCTTATGCGTGAAAAAGAGTATTTCACTTTTCGAAAGTAAAAATAGTCGTATTTTCAATGTGATATGAAAGATGTATCAAAATTTTAGGTGTTAGATATGTAAATACATAAGAATTGGGTGGTATGTATGTAAATATCCCTTTTTTAAATTTTCCATTGTTAGTTAAACAACAAATTTTATAGGCAAGAAGCAAAAACTAGCAAGGCTGTCCCAATTTTAACCATGAGACATAAGCTTTAAATCGCAAAAAACAATTCCATCTAAAATTCAATGGGTAAGACAGTAACCTGTACCCCTCCACAGATGCTGTTTTCGAAAATCTGAAAAGTTTATATTCATTGCGTATTGGTTATTATTTAGCTTCTCTTTTCAAGTTCATTTCAAGTGTAATAACATGCCTATAAAGTTTTGTCCTAATGAGAACAAGTTATGTTCCACAATATTTTGACTTTCTGATATCAAAGTTAACCTGAATCGCAATGGAATGAAGATATTATTGCTGAAATACGGTAGAATTACGATCAACGCTTTTGAAAACAGGAATAAAATGACAAACACAAATGAAACTTTAGGGTGAGGATGAATATGATGGGCTGCGACTGGACAACAGGCAGATTAGCCAATCAGGGTTGCGGCAATTGCAGGAAGGCTGAAAGCGGGGTTGTGGTAGCAACATGAAGGCTGGAGGGGGGATGGCAACGGCAGATAGAGAGACTGGAGGGGTTACAACAGCAGGTAGGGAGATTGGGGGGCTTGCGGCAGCAAGCAGAAAGACTTGAGGGTTTGCGGTGGCAGAGAGGAAGACATGAAGGTTTGAGGGATGATGGCGGCAAAAAGGGAGGGTTAGGCGAATGAAAGAATAGAAGGTAATCACTAATTTGGAGCAGGATACAGTCCTAGGAGGGAAAAGACACCGACAACAGAAAGTTCTGAAGCAAAAATTGAACCCTGATGACAGAAAATAACATATATAGTAGATAACCAGGAGGGGACCCCTTCCCCTTGAGCAACAACCCATGTGGTCGGTCTCTGTATCCCATGGCTGAATTGGTTCAGTTAGTTTCCAGTTGGTTTAGCCCCTAGGGATACCCGCGTTTCCAGTTGGGGGAGCTTCGACCTCATTAGTTGAAACTTCTGGTTTTCATAGCACGGAGTCAAATATGTCACATTGAAAATAGAAAAAATTTTGTAGTCCCCTGTTCGGTAGGTCTTATAAGCATTTTCGTTCAGCTTCTTGAGGATCCTAAAAGGTTCATCAGCTCCGAGCTTGAGCTTCTCGAAAGATGCCACTAGAAATATTTCTTTTTCAGTCATATCCACACTAGAAAGGTCACCTTCTTTGTGGTCTTGTTTACTTGTGCTTGGCACTTGCAGTTCTGCTTAGTGATAAATTTTCCCACCTCCTCGTGTATCTTCTGAATCTCTTACATCATCTTCTCATCATCCTCATTAATCTCTAATGTCAGAAGAAGTGGTACCAAGTTAGGTAGAGTAAGAGGTTGTGCACGTACACAATCTCAAATGGGGTGTGTTTCGTGGTCTGATTCACAGATCTGTTGTAACGCAAAATTGACTTAGGTTAGGATCAAATCTCACTGCCTAATGTTCTTTCCTACAAAGCACTTCAGTAGGTTCCTCAGACTCTTGTTCACCACCTCTGTCTGACCGTCTGTCTAAGGGTGAGCTGTCAAACTGAATTGAAGCTTAATGTCAAGCTTCCCCCATAGGGTCCTCCAAAAGTGACTAAAAAATTTGACATATCTATCAAAAATGATGGTCATGGATATCCTGTGTAGTCTCACTATCTCACTGAAGTACCAATCAGCAACATGTGAGTCATTGTTCAGCTACATTATGCTAACATCCACCGACGGGGCCTCTGATACTAGCAATGGGGTGTATAGTCTTGCATTTTGTCCTCTAGTATTAGTAATGGGGCATATAGTCTTGCATTTTTCCCTTAGATTTTGGCCACATGATAGATCCAATATTGTCTGACATGTCGCTCCACATCTCTTGTCAATCGAGGCCAAAAGAAGTGTTCTCTCACATGTGCGAGAGTCTTATCTCCGCCAAATTGTTCCGCAAGTCCTCTGCTGTGGCTTTCATGAATGATGGACTCTCTCAGCGAACATCTATGAATACACAACTTATTTCAATGGAATAGAAAACCATAAACCTTGTAATACTGCTCGATAAGCTTCTCCAAACACTGCCCCATATCCTATGAAATCTTCGTCTGTCTCATATAACTCCTTCACTACCTTAAAACATACGACTCGAGTCTGCATAGACGTGATCAGTAAATGACGAAGGTTAGTGCATCTGCAACTCATTTTGGCTTCCCACCCTGTGCTTAAGTATGAATTGGAACGATGCCAAGAACCCTACCCAGGATGTGTGTCGACCCTTCATTTTGTTCTAACTGTTCAAGAGTTTCAAAGACACATGTTTTGTAAATAGGTGAACTTGCTCGTCAGTAGATAGCGACTCCAGTGATAAAGAGTTCTTACGATAACATAGAACTCTTTGTCGTCCGTCGAATATTTCCTCATGTACTCATTTAACTTCTCACTAAGAAATTCTATGGGGCAGCCACCCTAGCTAAGTACTGCTTTGATCCCCGCATTGGAGGCGTCACACTCCATCTCAAACAGTTGATTGAAGCCCAGTGATGCCAATATTGGTGCCCAAGTCACCTACTTTAGTGTATCGAAACTAGTCTAAGCTACATCTAAACACTAAAACCACTCCCTTTCCAAAAACTATGTCCGGGGAGAGGTGATGGTACTGAAGCTCCTGATGAATCCTGTAAAATGATGTTAGCCCCAAAAATTGCCTCAACTTGATAAAAGACTGAGGTGTGGTCTTTGTGGGTCCCATCTAAATGTCTACAATATACACAATATAGCCCAAAAAGCATACATGTGCGTTCAAGAAGTGACACTTCTTTCGATTGGTGTATAGTCTCTCTGATCGCAAAACCTCGAAAACCATCCTCAAGTATTATAAGTGTGTCTCTTAGCATCTGTTGTATATTAGAATATGATTGAAGTACACCACCACGAATTTTTCGATGTGAGCTCGAACACTTGATTCATCCATCTCATGAATGTGTTGGATGCATTGGACAATTCGAAAGGCATGACTATCCACTCGTATAGTCCATCCAGGGTCTTGAAAGTGGTCTTCCACTCCTCCCCTGGCCTCATCTGGATCCAGTGTTACTCGCTGTGTAAGTCAATCTTGGAAAAGACAATGGCTTCGTGCAACTGATCAAGAGATCATCTAGGCGAGTTATGGGGAACCTGTATTTGATAGTAATCTTGTTGATAGCTCGACTGTCAATGCACATCCTCCATGATCCATCTTTCTAGGGTGCCATCAAGGAGGGGACAACACACGGACTGATACTCTCTTGGACCAAATCTCTCGCGTATCATGTATCGGTCATTGAAATTCCTCGTACCCTGTAGGTCTCAATCTGTGGACAGGTCGATTTGAAAACACTGATCCGAGTATGAGAATTGAGTGTCCATTAGTCCCTTTGTAAGATTGTCAGTCATCACATTCTGAAAATCAAATAGCAGTAGTTGTATGGGCGACGGTATCTCAACCTCTTCCTCAGTTCCATCTAATAGGACCAATGTCATTGTCATTGGAGCCTCTCGTACTTACTGCATGAAGATAGCTCTTGGGACTACCATCTCCTCTGTGATGTCTACTCCTCTTGCATCCTTGACGAGCAAAAGGACGATGTCTCTATTCCTTTTAAAATAAATGAGTGT